CAAACAAACAAACAAAGTAAAAGATACGATGTGAAATCGACTAGCAAGAAAATATTAACTAAAAAGAATTAAATAAAAAAAAACATGGAAGATTATCATAAATAAATAAAAAGTATTAAGAAGGAGTATAGGTAAAAATAAAAAACTTAGACAATAAGTAAGAAAGGAAAAATTGTTTTTATTTGTCAGAGAGGGAACTACAAAATCGAAGACCGCTGATTTCGGGATCTAGGTTTATTCCACAATGACTAACGTTATTTAAAGTGGCATTCCAATAAGCGTCTTCCATTTCTTTCTAGCAGCTTTAGTTTTGAAATATGTTTGAATATCTGTGAGGATCACATCATTAATAGAATGACTAAGTTGGTTGAAGCACTAAAAACCTGGGAAGTCTTTTTAGGTGTTAACAGAAAGTTTATGGTTGTTGAAACTCCCTCTTAAGGTCGTTTAGGTCTGCCCTCATACATACTGGTGATTACACGTTTTACATTGTATAAGGTAATTAATGTTGTATAGGTAATTTCTTTAGTAAATTTAAAGTCTTTCCGGTCGTATTTGTTGGAAAAAGAGTGGATAGATTTAATGAACGAGTTTTATTATGATACATGGATGACAACCATTCTTTGATTGTATGAACAAGGATAGCTTTAAGACTTCTTCTCTTATGGAAGGAGACAATGGAATCTTAAGGAAAAGTTTGTTTTAGGCAATCGTTCAGTTGGAGTAAATGGATTTTTTTTCTGAATAAGCGAAACATTTCTGAGTTCAAAGTGAACAAATGAAATTCTGTTTGAAGCTTTACTATTTAATGATAGTTTTTCGTTGAGTGTTGTTAGATATTACAATTTGTCTCTCACTTTCGGTGTCCTTGTGTGAGTTTTTTTTTTAAAGCAAAGTTACATTGGGCTGTCTGCTGTTTCCACCGTAGGGAATCGGACCCCGGATGTTAACGCTGTCAATTCGCAGACTTATTGCCGTCCCACCGGAGGACTTGGTGTCCTTATAATCTATTTATAACATCGTTTTTTTTTAGATAAATATGGTTTTCCGTTTGATGGAGGTGTCCAAGAAGACTTCTTTAAAAGCCTCACTATGTTTATGTTCAGTAGAGTGAAGCTTTTAAATATTTAAGATAATAATCTAGGTGTATTATACAATATTATTTCAAAAACACTACTTTGTTTTATTAATTAGTTGTTAATTAATATACTTGAACGGAATTTATTGATTAAATTTGAAAATATTACTACGTTCTTGTCTTAGGGAGAACAGCTAATAATATCACCAAATCCTATACAAGCTGAGGACCCGGATGTTGATATTAGGTCGCCCGTTGAATACTCTTTTAATTCTGGTAAGTTTTCCATTGTTTTATTGTAAGTTTTCCATGTAATCAAAAGGCGAGTAAGTTTGTCCAGCAGTTTCAATCAAAACCCATTATGTTTTATAATTTTTCCAATGATAGATCTTTAGACCTTGTTCATTTTAGATACACCACGTGTAAAGAGGAAACTTTGAAAAATCATTTAAGTTGTTGGTTAAAAAAAGCAGTATACAGGGCCGTAGGAAGCGGCAAGGCCAGTTAGGCCTAACCACATTTTCATACCATGTATAGCTACAACTTGTGTATTAAAGCTTGCTTCTTTTAATTCAATACATTATGTCGTGTATATGTATATTTTGAGTTAAACTGGCTTAGGAGTCAATCTCATAGTATCAGAACGTTTCTGGGGGTATGCCCCAGACCCCCCCCCCTCCTAGAAATCACAATGTAGCAATGGCCTAGCCACTCAAAATCAACACATTACGTTGTGTGTATGTAGTATTTATAGTTAAAATGGCTGAGGATTCAATCTCGTAGCATTAAATTTTAAAAAAATTCTAGGGTAAGCATGCCCCAGACCCCCCTAGAAATTACAATGTGGCAATGGCCTGGTCTCTCCAAAAATTGCTCCCTGTGGCAATGGTATATGTGTGTGTAATGATCGTTTTTTTGTTATAAGTAGTAGTTTCTTTACCTAATTAAATCGCTTTGTCGAAAATAGTTCTTGGTTGTTTTCGTGTTCAATTCTTTTCGATTGTTTTTAGATCTAAAACAAACGTTAAAGTGTCATTTGCAGACGATTTTATCGTGTTAGATTAAATGCAAGTAAGAAACGTCTGAGTAATGCTAAAAATGGACGTGAGCGTGAAGGAACGTACCCATACTTGGGGTGACGGGGGGGGATTCTCACCGATGGAAAGTAACATTCATCCAAAAATGGTGTATTGTAATGATTGAAAATTTAGTTATTATGATATTACGTCGGAAACAATCTCAATCGTTTTTCCTCTTTCATTAAATAGGGGAATGCATTGCTATTATATATATGTGTGTGTGTGTGTGTGTGTATATATATTAATATTTATGACAAAAGAAATGATTTTACATTTCAAATTTTTGGACTTCCCTCTCCAAACAGTAATGTACCAACAAGTACCATACAGAGCATATATGTTCCAACAAGTCCCATAAAGAGCATATATGTACCAACAAGTACCATACAGAGTATATATATGTAAAAATAAGTACCATACAGAGTATATATCTACCAACAAGTATCATACAGAGCATATATGTACCAACAAGTCCCATACAGAGCATATATGTACCAACAAGTACCATACAGAGCATATATGTATCAACAAGTACCATACAGAGCATATATGTATCAACAAGTATCATACAGAGCATATATCTACCAACAAGTACCATACAGAGCACTATTCACTGTAGAATTTGTAGTAATGTACAGTACTTAATATCTAATATTAATATATTCGTACATAAACAGATTTTAATGGGTTCGAGGAGAAAACTTTAATTAAATATTTTAAATCATTCTATAACAAATATAGAATTTTTTTATACAAATTTGAAAGTAATGATTTAAACAATATTATAATATGCACAATAAAAACATTAATTTATAAAATGTTATCGTGAGGGAAATGATTGGAATTACTTATTAGACATTCCATATGTTGTACTGGTTAGTTAATGTAGTGGTAATTATATCACCTTCTCTATATAAGACCTACTACTGCGTGGTTCTCTTTAGAACCATTGAAGATCCACATAGTAGCATGGAAGGGTGGAGGATGGGAGCTATCCTTATGATATTGGTTAGTTAATGTAGTGGTAATTATATCACCTTCTCTATATAAGACCTACTACTGCGTGGTTCTCTTTAGAACCATTGAAGATCCACATAGTAGAATGGAAGGGTGGAGGATGGGAGCTATCCTTATGATATTGGTTAGTTAATGTAGTGGTAGTTATATCACCTTCTCTATATAAGACCTACTACTGCGTGGTTCTCTTTAGAACCATTGAAGATCCACATAGTAGAATGGTAGGGTGGAGGATGGGAGCTATCCTTATGATATTGGTTAGGCTTAGTATAGTAATACCTTAACGTCTTGGTATTTATTGTCCAAACATCATATTGGGGGTTGGAATGCTACTGTTTTACTGTCTTCCCCCCTTGGTGTAATGTATTCTATTATTTCTTACTGCTTTTTTTATTTATTTAATTTTATTTTCTTCTGAGCAATCATCTTCCCACACCTGGCTGCACACAGCGAAAGGTGGTAAAGATGTGGGACGTTGTGGACTAGAGCACCCACATCTGTTCAGTTGTATTTTTTTTCTTATTCATGTGAGGCCGGCGAAGTTGAGGTTAAAAATATGGGTATTACTTCCGTCAGTACTTCTAAAAGCCGAGTGCTTACACCCGCAACTGTGGGAAGGCAGTTACCCTTAAATTTCTTGAAGTAGAAATGAAACCACCCTAACATTTCTACTAGTCAAACTCTCAACCTCCACCTTTTCCAAAAGGTATTAAATACAATTATAAAGTATTAAATAGTACCCTTTTTACAATATGGAGTTCCTCCGGTGGCTCAGTGATAAGTTTATTGATTGGTTGAAGTTAAGCACAAAGCTACACAATGGGCTCTCTGTGCTCTGCCCACCACAGGTATCGAAACCCGGTTTCTAGTGCTGTAAGTCCGCAGGCATAACGCTGTGCCACTGGGGGATATCTAGGCGGTAAGTCTGAGGGCTTGTAATACTAAAAATTGGGCTTCGATACCATTGGTGGGCACAGGACAGATAACCCATTGTGTCGATTAACAACGAACAAATAAACAGTTTGGGGCACTGAATGCAAGTGAAGAACTACTAATTAAAACGGCAACAAAAACAGTTTTCATTCCGTCCTGCAAATGTTCCAACGATGTTTTAGTTATATTTCAAACATCGAAGATAGCCATTTGGTATTCAAATTTATAAAATACTAAAACTTGTTTATCTCTCGTCAGATTCCGAAGAATATTCGTACTTTGAACTGGACCAACATTCCGGAAGAGTGAGCATTAAGAGACCCCTACCTCATAACCTACCTCTACCCTTAACCCTGGTTATTCGAGCCACACAAGTGAACAATAAAGACAAATACTCTCTGACCACGCTTACAGTGACCACCGACCGACCAATTCCTAACGTCCTCAAGTTCTTGCAGAACGGTTACGTCACAACTGTTTTAGAGAGTACTCCGCCCGGTGCTGTGATTTTGACTGTCCAGACATCAAAACCTGTAGATATGGTAATGACTTTTTTTTTCCATTACACTGCTGCGTGTTCAACGATTCTGTAAAACTAAAAGATGCTTTGTCGACGTCATTCGAGCTGTAGACAAGGCAAGCATGTGTTTATAGTATAGAATTGTATTTGTATTGAACAACACTTTTGTTTGATATTAAAAGAATAACTTTTATGAAAGTAACTTAGTCATCTGTAAGTATCTCTGACCTTATTGTGTATTTTGTACCCGTTTGTGAATCTATTAAAGCCATCTGCCGCCGTTTCTAATTTTAACCCTTTCGCTGCGCAATTAATTTTCAGGCTGATTCCCAAAAAGTGTCAGTTATCCACCAAAAAATAAAAGTATTAATTTGACCCTTTTTATTACTTTTTCAATATTAAAAGAAGCTATATTTTTTCTATATCTGACAATAATATTCCTTGAAAACCGTATTGGATAATGAAAATTAATGATTTAAACAAACAAATTGAGGAAGATTAGAAGAATAGTGTTCTCCAGTAAATGACATAAATATAAGTAAAACTAAGTCAATAAGAGGCCAAAATCGTTACAAAATATAAAACAAATTGAGGAAGATTAGAAGAATAGTGTTCTCCAGTAAATGACGTAAATATAAGTAAAACTAAGTCAATAAGAGGCCAAAATCGTTACAAAATATAAAACAAATTGAGGAAGATTAGAAGAAAAGTGTTCTCCAGTAAATGACATAAATATAAGTAAAACTAAGTCAATAAGAGGCCAAAATCGTTACAAAATATAAAACAAATTATTTAGATAACAATATCCAAGATATAAAGATGCTGTCTGTATGTAGATTATATATGTGTTCCTGCAAAGTTGGCAATTTTGTAATGAAGCATATAAACATCCAAGTTTCATGGCGTAGAACACAGATGGCAGCACGCATGCAGATTTGGCAATTATGTCAAGTACAGGGGGATATTCCCTATTGTCGCAGTAGAGGGGAAACTTTTTTGGTAGCTGAGGAGTAAATCCGAATTTCGCAGTCAGTGGGTATAAATGTATATTTGGATATATCCGAGCTACGCAGCTCAGGAAGAAGGCACCCAGTTATCAACACCCTATTACCCACCATCCATACTAAGGGATTGACTGTCTCTCTTTTATCGCACCCACAAGTAAAATGCGGAAAATATTTTGTGGTATCTGAAGGTTTTGATGCCAGCTCTGAAATCCAGAGCTCTATAATAGGGCCGCGTATCTCTTAATAGGACTTATAGCGCTTATAAGTTGTATATTTCAATTAATCACAGCTTCTAACGGTGGGAGGGGAATCAAGAATTTTCGCGTAATTTCAAGTTAAGGTCATTGTTAAACAATTTTTGTGAAGCTAGAAACCTCTATTGCGTTTTTTTTTAAAACGTATATGATTTCCATTTTTTGATCCTTAATATTCCGTAAATAAAATTGATTTTTAATGAGAAAAATTAGAAACGGTTCTCAGATGAAAGAAATTTCGTCCAACTGAGTCTATATGTTGTTATTTTTCAGAACATCCGCTTAAAACTGTTAGGTGATTCAAATGAATATTTTGCTGTGAGAGACACGTAAGTAAAATATTAATTTCTTGCTGTGGTTTGAATTATTTTAATTAAGTTGTTGACCTTTTAATCCAAGGTTAACCTAGTATGGAAATATATTAATATCTACTTTAATTTTATTCATTGCAATTCTTTGGCTTATTTGTGATTTTCAGAAGCGCCATCTATTGACGATGTATCCATATTCCAACAGTAATGTTATTTTAACTATTATTATTATCACAAGTTACAGCTTTTATGGTAAGTAAACTCAAAACGAAACTATTAAAAATGTATTTTATCATATTGAATTTCGATATAGGGGAGAAATCATCGTTGCCAAGCCTTTAGACTTCGAGACACAACAACAGTTCTATCTTGATGTAATGGTGTCTGATGGTCGCCAGGTTTGTTTCCTTTATGTCCCTCATTTGTTTTACTGTAATTTTACAGAAGATACATTTGGTAGCATGTGGATGTTAGATTAACTTTGTTCTTGGTAATAAATTTAGTCTGTCTTTCTTTAATTGTTGGAAAACTGAACATTGTAAAAGATTTATTTAAACTTTGTGACGTGGAACATGTATAAACTTGAATAAAATTTTAGAATGAACAGAGTTGTTTAAACAACTCTCTTTATTCAATTATGTACAAGCTACCCAGTGTCGGCTAACAGTACGAAGAATTAAAT